GTAACTCGGACTGCTGTTTCCCGACTGTCTTTGCTTCTTGCAGAGAAGGAAGTAGGAAGAGGTTTTAACTTGACTTAAGTGCATTAGTGCGCTAATTTTTCCATGCACGTGCACAGCTGAAATGCATCCTAATTTATGCAAAATACCGCACCGCACACGCTTTTCCGACAAGTTCCTTCCACTGGGCTGCTCGTTGCGCGCACTGCACGTGTTCTGGATGACTCAGAAAGACTAATCGAATATAGCTGCATCGGGTGTTATAAACACCCTTAGCTGATATGATTTTTGCATCAACGTCATCTCCTTGGAATTCGAACCGCCAATGCGCTGGCGCTTTCAACAAATACAGACCACTAAACCATTGTCAACCAATTCCCAAATGCAGTTTACACAATCAGGACAGGCATTCATTTGTTGGCAAAACCACTGATGACTTCTTTCGAGGGCTGCTTAGAAGCAGACTGGTGGTGCTTTTGACTCTCTGATATTTGGCTAATAGAGCCAATTTACATTCGAAACGAACAGAGCAATATTGAAGAGATCGGTTTCTCACTGAATGGCATGAACCATAAAGCAGAAATTGAAAGGCACTCTGCAACTATAGCATGTTTGAGAAAAAAAGCTTTAATAAACAGATGTTTTTAACAAAACACTGGAAACTTTTAAATGGTAAAACAAAGCAAAAAATTACTTACGTTCAAGCAGCCGCGCGCCTTTTTTTATGGCATTTATGTACCCTTCAACGGTTGCCTCCCCCTTAATCTGGATACCCATCAAGTAGGTGTTGTGACTCGAATTGACGAAATAATTGCTAAGTGGTTGGTTCATGTCCTGGAATACTTTCTCATGATCGACTTGCAGCACACTTCCCCATCGAGAACGCAGCAGCGCTCGGAAACCTAGAAAGAAACTATAAATAAGATTGTTCTTTTATGCTTAATGCTTCTATTCGTTTTTTTCAGAAATTCATTTCATCTCCTAATGTGACTTTTTTTGATGTCCTGAGAGTCTTTCATATTATTATAACTCATTTAACGGAGAATGCAAGTGAATCTGTAAGAATTAAGCCAATAGCTCATACAGGCTGTAAAGAGACCCTGATCACTACTTCACTTCTATCCAGGAGAAAAAGGAAAACAAGAAAGCGAACACCAAAAGCACGATTGCACTGGCCAAAGTTTCAAAAAAAAATTGATGGAAAACCTAACGCTGATCAAATTATCGGTGCCAACGATTTCGTATTTGCCTATGATTTCCACCGCCACATTAGTACTTGTCTTCAACAGCACTGGATCTAGTTTGCACCTTTAAAAGTAACTGTTCACTTTTCACCTAATTTAAGCTCCTTAACACTCATTAAGCTAAATTCACACACAAAATGCCATTGATCCAAAGTTAGAGTTTCCCTGCATCCTATTTCTATTATTTTAATATCTCCAAGGCGCAATGCACAGTGAACGTCTTTTAGCCCCTTTTCCGGAAGCAAATTTCTTCCCACCTATCTTTCCTTTTCCTGATTGCGCGAAAGTGAAGCTCAACCCAGGCTGGAACGCATCAGGCGAGCCGGCGCGATCATGCGTTCCTGCATCAAACTTTGAGACACTCCATTAAAATTTTTCTGCCTTTTCCCCGCCCCCTCCACTCGCTGTTTCCGCCCCTCCCACTTTCCCCGCCCCCGCCCTGATATCCACCTCCTCGAAGCGATGATATTGTGCTGAATTATAGGGCACTATTATAAAGCGGAATTTCGTGAGTACGGTACCATAAGACACGCGTGGTCGACAAGCCCCGCTGAGCGGTCTAACACTGCTCAGCGGTGGCGTTGTTTGGTTGGAGGATGGGTGTGGTGGGTGGTGTTGTGTTGTGGGTCGG